GAGACGGCAACAAGAAGAGTAGGCATTACTAATACGTGCATATCATTAAATCCTACTAGGCAACCGAATGTTGTTTGCTGTTGCTAATAATTAAACAACGGCACGAAAGAGGCAAATAATTCTGTCTTATTTCCTGGTGTTGCTGCAGAGACACGCGAAAACTGACAGGATCCGGTATGACATCTGGCGAGGTCAACGGCTTTGTTGATAGGTGAGCGCCGCGTGACGCAGTTATGCGGCATCTGCACGGTCACTGCGTGGACTCATCTCTCAGCGTTTGCGTTTGCATCGTTGCTCGTACAGGAGACACACATAGGGAGAATGCAGCAACCCCGAATTTCTGGGGAAATATATCATAGATTATATTACGTATTCTGTGTATTCTCTCACCAGGTTGCACTATAATGTCCTGTTATTCTGAAATCAGCCTCTTCCTGCATTACCTTGAAACACAGAAAATGTGTGAAGACCCATATACTAACGATTGTGAAAAGAGTCATGCATGTTGTGCACGCTCGTGATCTATTAAACAGACTTGGGCACCAAAAACACAAAATATACCTTACTTAGATGCAGGCCTCTATTTGGCTGCCTTCACATTTGTTACTACTTCCTAGTCATTTGGCTCTGCGCTGCACGCTGCCTATTCCATACATATGCGCGCCCGTATCTCTTCCTCCATAAATCACGGCTGATCAATCTTTTAGCAGCGTGAACTTCCTGCAGCAGCATGGATAAGCTTCACATCCGCTAGTTCGCAGTTTGCATGAGCATGAAATGTATTACAAATGCGTCTGTTTCCTGTTTTACGTGGCTGTTCAGGTTCATGCCACTGTACACGGTGTACTTGCCAGGGCTGTACGCCAATCCACCTCTTTCAGGGAAGGATCCTGACGACCAGCGCTGCCTCCTCGTTGAAGTTACAGAGCAACGGACAGTCAAATATGCTACATTCGTTTGATGGATTCTTGCGTCTTGGCTGTCCGTAGTATGCTCAGCCTTTGTTCAACAGTAGTTGCCCCTGCATTTTGCTGGCCGCAATGCTGCACCGATAGCTTTTTCTCGTCTCGCTTCAAATTCTGTTGCTGCTTTTGCATTGATCAATTTTCCAACCCTGGACTCTATAGGTCTCTGAGGGAAAGTGGTCACGGTTAGTCAATTGTCAGAGAGTTCAGTATCAGCGTGTTCCTCTCTAGCTCCTTACAGCCTATGGGTTTTACCAACGGCAGCACCAGCTGCCGTAGAATTCCCACCACAGCAACCAATGCACTTTTGGATCGTCCCGCGTTAGTCTCCTCCTATTTGCTTGCCTGTCCCTGAATCCGCCGCCTTGGTCCTTCACCGCTCATTACCAATAGAACTCCCTCTGTTGCACTGAACAGGACCAGCTTCAGTCCCCGCGTTTTTATTTGTCGTTACGGTTTTCTGCCTTCGGCGGTCTGCTCTCCAGTGGTGTGCATGGGTCTTCGTCCTGGCATATCATCCCATTATACTACATACATTGAGAACCTGGCTGTTGCCCGCCGAGATTACTCTTACTACAACATGCAGTTGCACCACTGAATACGCAGTTCGTAGTGTATACCATAACGGAGCTGCCACTGCTGTTTATTGCTTGAGGAGCAGCAACATGGGCACCATCAAGCGGGCAATGTCCTGACGCCCTCAGCTGCTCTTGGATTCATTTGCAAAGGTAGTAAGACATGTAGCACAGAAAGGGTGCGCCTACAACAGTCGAATTCGCCGCGCACAGACCGGGTGAGCGGATGCATCCAGTAAAGCAAATTAGCGCCATCGGTTTTGTGGCCTTTCCGGGTCAAAAGCTGCGTGCACCCTGGTATGTGCGTTGCCAAAATATTAAAGCAGCACACACTGCAATGTGTTGTTGGTTTGCAAGCGCATGATCGAATGGCTGCTGGCGCCCACGGCTTATCCTCCAGTCCATCCTTTCACTGGCTTTGTGGAATCGCGTGTCGGCCGTAAGCACATGCGACGTGTGTACGGCTACCTGCGTGCACTCGTGCATGCTGGCTTTTTTGCTGTCTCCTGATTCAGAGCCTTCTGCTGTTGCTGTTGTTACTACTGCGGGCACAGCAAAATGCCATCGCCGGCCTCAGCAGCATTTACAGGTCAAGCAAGCAAGAAGCTCAGCACTTCTGCCTCTTTACTCTTCGAGATGTTAGCTGCGCGTGTTGCCCCTGTTGGCACTAGTTGCCCATTCCTATTTGTTGCGGCTTTCGTTACAGTGGTTAAACTTGCCCATCCGACTCCACCTGATTGAGTGTATTCCTCCTCTTCAGAAAAATCCAGTGCCGCATGCTTGACCTCTTTCGCTGTTGTGATAATGCCCGAACTTTCATCCCTTTTCTCCGCCCCCCTTCCCGACCGAGTCAGTGTAGGCGACATCATTCAAGCCCTATGGTTTCCTGCCGTTCTTCACCTGTGCTTTGAGCCGCCTTACCTTTTTTCTCCGCCCAGGCTGCGAGAATTTGCGTACGGTAAGAAAACTGCTGGGCAAAATCTTACCCTATGCGGGAGAAGAAAGGCTCTGTGCCGACATTTGCGTTGTTACTGCTCCTGCAGTTGCTCGCAGAGTGTGGAGGGAACGCCCATTTTTGTAACCAATGTATCAAACCTCTCCTCTTTATGTATTTCTGTCGTTTCCAACGTTTTTTTCCCTTTTAGTGCTACTTCAGTTTTTGCACCGTGAGTGCTGCTTCCGATGCAGTCGAAGGACAGCTGTGGCGCTCTTGCTAATATGTCGCTAAACGCCAAGTGAACTCACACGCGTTGTCCTGGTACGGGTGGCTCTGGTTTTGCTGCCGCTGGCTCTGCTCTTTGCTGCTGCTGCTGCTGCAGCGGCGGTTGCTCTAAATTGGTTTCGACATCGAGCGCGAGAGCAGTCTTCATTATATGCCATATGCTGTATGCGCATTCTGTTTCTCGGACTCATCCACAGTACCTTGACAACAGCTCATACTGGCGTTAATGCTGCTGGGGCTTGGTTCTTCAGCTGTCGCAGCATTACCGCTGATGTACTGACATCCCAGCACGGCAATATGGGGGACGACAGGTCTCTGCAACACTTCTTGCGCTGCTGTGCAGCTCCTAGAATCTTTGGATAACAGCGTCAGCCTTCGCATGGCTGGGGAATCTGGAAGAAGACAGCAGTGGACAGAGCCGAGGTTGCAGGGCAACCTACTCCGGTTGCAACCGTCACAACGAACGTCCTTGCGAATAGAATGGAATAGCTCTGGCTGTGGGTTGGCAGCTAGGGCTACGAGCTGCCTGTAGCTGGTACGAGCATTTCTACTTGCGCGCTGGTTGGTAACTGAGGGCCGACGAGGTGTCTAACAATTGTCTTCAGCATTAGTACGTCCACCAACGGGGGCTTGGGCACGCTTACAGCAAGGAGCAGTGCAGGCCACCGCTTCCTCGCCGCAGTAGCCCGAGGCATCTGGACCGGCGTGCCCAGGGCGCCTGGGGTTTACAGCGGCTCTCAGCTGTCTTTGGTGGGACTCTTTAAGTGCCGTGACTCTACCGCAGCTTACGACGGTCCTCTGCTAAAATCGAGGACTATCGCTACGCAATTCAGTGCGGGGAAACGTGCAGTACACTGTAACGCCGCTACCTTTGGGTCTCCACAGCCGTTGCTGCCTCTACCGCCTCACCTGCTGGAATGCAAGCGCACAAGAGGACAGGGCAGTCGCAGCAGTGCTGACGTAGCGGAGAGCAACGCGGCCACCACTAGGAACAGTACGCATAACAGTTATAACACATTTGCCTTTATCTGAAGACGTATTAAACGGCATATCCGACCCAAACAAGGAATTTTGTCCTGTGTCGAGGGGAAAGCGAACCACGGAGTTGAGCAGAGCCTGAGGCCTAGT